TTCTGCCCTTGAAGTTTTACATTTCTTTCTTGTTACTATCATCTAAAATCATGCAAATGCAAATGAATCATTTTCAGAGATTTGTATTCAGCTGCCTGACATTAGACAAAATAATTACTAGATATTGGACTTCTTACCCAAGCAGAAAACGTATGACTGATGCATACCAGCCTTTGTGGAGAGCAGGAACAACAGCCTTTGTCAGCTATCAATAACAAAGACAACATGCATGACTGAATATGTAAATGACCACTAGGTTATCTGCTGAGACAGCTTTGGCTGTAGACTCTAGGTTTGATGACTTATGAAATGATGAAGATTAAATGATGATAAGACAAGATGAGGTCTGGGAACTCAACATACAGTAACTTAGGCAAATACTTATGAAGTTAGGTTCAAGAAAGCTAGATTATAACTATATCCATAATCAGACATTCATGTTGTATCTATAAATATAAGTTACGTAAGATTTGAATCTATATCAGTTTGTAAGCTTAAATATCAGCACTATCACTTTCTAAAGATACTGTTATAAGTCTTGCAAGTTTAGATTATCCATCAGTAGACATTTGTTATACTGTAAAATGCATAATATCTGCAAATAAGCTCTTTACATAGTTAATCAAATGCTAACATCTATCGACTTTGGTCAAAATATCCCGGCAAAATATCCGCTGCACTATTGATTTTGTCGGCTGATCAGCAGATTTGATGAAAAGACAAAATAAGCTTAAACTTTAAAGTCTAACTGAAATTGGATTGAATATTATTACACATTAAATGAATAATACACTGAGACTGTTACCTGTGGCTGGCTGATCATCTTCATTCGCTGTTAGCGATTCTTCGTCTGGATCTCTCTGTGGAACGGGCTCCATCTTGGAAAACAAATCCTCGTCACCCTCCCCTCCCTAAGTACGGCTTATTTTACCCATGATCCCTCACTTGTTTATATTTAGATGAATGGAGAGTTTTTTACGATGAAAGCCCTGATTTTAGCGGCCGGCTATGGTACGAGATTAGAACGAGATTTAAAAGCCGACAAAAGTGGAAAATATGAACATCTTATTGGTGTTCCAAAGCCATTGCTTCCTRTAGGGGAGAAAGCTTTGATATCTCGATGGATGGAATGTCTTGAAAGGGAACATTCCATTGCTGAGGTGTACGTAGTGGTAGGTGGTTGATTTAAGTCATTGATAGTCTAATGTGCTTTTGCCAATAATTAAATAACTATATTTGTTTATTTACTTAAAAGAATCAAATTTTACATTAACGCATTATTAATTTTGGTCCAGAAAGAATTAGCGAACTGTGAATTCATATGAAATGAGAGTGGAAAATTTATAGAAAGAAAAATGATAGAATGTTGATTGCTCTACGGCAACTGGTATTCACTTTTAATCAAATATGCAAATATACAGTAAAGAAATAACTGGAAATGTATAAGTAATTTTTAAACATTTTATTCAAAGACAAATTCCCTTCATTATGAGAAATTCAAGGAATGGTCCCTTCAGTGGCCAAATGTAAAACTTATAAATGATGGAACAACTACAAATGAAGTAAGTGAACTATAAACCTTTTCATATTATACAATAAAAAACATTATCAAGTAGAAAATTGTGACTCATGCTTATATCTAGTCACAACTAAAATGCAACTTTTTCGACTTGGACCCAGTTTCTGTCGCACAAGCATCATGGTGTGCCCTCCATTCAACTTTTAGTGAATTAGTATTGGCAGTGAACAATGTGTTTATGTTGAACTTGTGGCAACATTTGAGCCATACTTTTTAGAAACTGTTTCTTTATCTTTAGTACTATATGATCTCTTTGTTCACCTTTTGGGATTCCTTTGTAACTATGAAACAGGAATCCCACATCAGCTAATATATTTTTCATATATTTCAATAGGGTAGACTGGGGGCTATCAAGTGCATACAGCTGTGTAT